TCTGCGTTTGGACCTGCATTTGAGGTGTCGTTAGCATCGTAATGACACCCGCTGCAGAGCACAAGGTCAGTGCATTTTGAACATGGTCCAGGAACACGCATTGAAAACTGGTTCTTTGCGTCGCATTCTGGTGTGAATGAGCCCTTGTTTTTGAAAGTACTAAATATAAAACTGGGAAAAAAAGCTTTTATAAAGCTGTAAGTCTAAAGTTGAACATAACATGTATATGATATATATGATATGGTGCTGCTTCTGGTACTCTGGTTCTTCCTCCAACACCTACGTCACTGCTGCGTCCTTCAGTCATGTACTGTAGATGTCAGTGGAATGTACCTGTGCGCGGCATGGGAATATTGCTTTTACGAAGAGTGACTTCTATCAGGAAATAACAATAAAAAAAAAAAACCATCAGAGGTTCTACCCCTTCCTCATACTTACCAAAAAATACAATATTTTAGCTGGAGTTGAATACTAGCCTTTTGTGTTAATAACTAAAATATAATTGTTTGGATTTTTTTTTTCAATCAAATAAGTATGAAAATTGCATTCTCTGTTTCATCCAGACTCATTTTGACATTTTGCAGACTCACTCTTTGCTTCTTTCATGTAAAGCCTGCTGTTTACAGAGCTCAATAGCTCAAACTATTGGAGTGAGCCTTCATAGTGTAGCCTGCACTGAATCAAAATCATATTGCTAGATTGGGCTGCATCACATTGAAGAACCCAGAGCCTTTCTGTAGTGGCAGAAGTCTAAGACCAGCTTAGCAGTGCTGGTAAACACATCTACTTAGCAGGTGGGAAGACCTATGATGATTAGGGGAGTGCCTGCAAACTGGTTTCTACATTTCTGCTTGTATATGTAAACCTGTATATGTAAACCCTAGTAGTTAACTTCTCTGATTTGCTCGATTTGGACTGTCAAATGTGCCATTAAAGCAGCAGTGAACCTCAAAAGAAAAAAAAATTGGGCCCCTGCCATGATGTGCTAGTATGCATGACAGACTTACCTTAACATGAGGCTCTCCAATGGTGCGCTGTCACTGCTGCCAGCACTTCCATCTTTACTCGGTCTTCCTTCCAGGTTCAAGGGCTTTGGCTGTTTGCATAGCTAAGCCACAATTATGTCAGTCCCACGCATGTGCACAGAAGTCACAGCACAATGCTCTCAATGGATAGCACAGACCACTCAATGGGCAGTGAGCATGCACCGGAGACTCCACCAGCTGCTTTTAAAGTAAATATCTATTAAATGGTGCAAGTTTATATTTACTGTACATAGAGGTAATCCTCATTATAGGCTTAGCTGTAGATATAAATCAAAAAGTGGACTTTATTACTGCTTCAAAAGCTCTTTTTATATCTGTTTAAACAAAAATCACAAAAAAACAGGAGTTCTGGAGTAAGGACCGCCCCTGTGGGGAGGAAAGGAAAGACACATTATAACACTCGACCAGCCAGAATCATTGACAATTAAAGGTACACTATATTGCCAAAAGTATTGGTCGGCCTGCCTTTACACACACATGAACTTTAATGGCATCCCAGTCTTAGTCCGTAGGGTTCAATATTGAGTTGGCCCCGCCCTTTGCAGCTATAACAGCTTCAACTCTTCTGGGAAGGCCGTCCACAAGGTTTCAGAGGGTGTCTATGGGAAGGTTTGACCATTCTTCCAGAAGCACAATTGTGAGGTCAGGGAGGAGGCCTGGCTCGCATTCTCCACTCTAATTCATCCCAAAGGTGTTCTATGGGGTTGAGTTCAGGACTCTGTGCAGGCCAGTCAAGTTCCTCCACCCCAAACTCACTCAGCCATGTCTTTATGGACCTTGCTTTGTGCACTGGTGAGTAGTCATGTTGGGACAGGAAGGGGCCATCCCCAAACTGTTACCACAAAGTTGGGAGCATGAAATCATCCAAAAATGTCTTGGTATGCTGATGCCTTAAGAGTTCCCTTCACTGGAACTAGGGGGCCGAGCCCAACCCTTAAAAAACAACCCCACACCATAATCCCCCCTCCACCAAACTTTACACTTGGCACAATGCAGTCAGGCAAGTACCGTTCTCCTGGAAATTGCCAAACCCAGACATATCCATCAGATCGCCAGACAGAGAAGCGTGATTGGTCACTCCAGAGAACACGTCTCCAGTGCTCTAGAGTCCAGTGGCGGTGTGCTTTACACCACTGCATCCGATGCTTTGCATGGCACTTGGTGACGTAAGGCTTGGATGCAGCTGCTCGGCCATGGAAACCCATTCCATGAAGCTCTCTACACACTGTTGTTGTGCTGCTAATCTGAAGGCCACATGAAGTTTGGAGGTCTTTAGCTATTGACTCTGCAGACAGTTGGAGACTTCTGAGCACTGTGAGCTTCAGCATGTGCTGACCCCGCTCTGTCACTTTATGAGGTCTACCACTTGGTGGCTGAGTTGCTGTTGTTCCCAGTTGCTTCCACTTTGTTATAATACCACTAACAGTTGCCTGGGGAATATTTAGTGGCCAGGAAATGTCACAGATGGACTTATTGCACAGGTGACAACCTATCACGGTACCACGCATGAAATCACTGAGCTCCTGAAAGCGACCGATTCTTTCACAAATGTTTGTAGAAGCAGTCTGCATGCCTAGGTGCTTGATTTTATACACTTGTGGCCATGGAGGTGATTGCAACACCTGAATCCAATGATTTTGAGGGGTGAACCAATACCTTTGGCAATATAGTGTACGTATATAGAGATTTTTTTAAACTCCTTGGTGTCAGTGCCTTCCAGTCCTTTAAGGGGTTTGTGACACCGGAAGGTGGGGTTTGGGGTCATGTGAGTGCCGTGATTGGCTGTCACGGCAGTCACATGACCGGAAAGCTCCCGACCAAAAGTAGCGATTGGGACCTTTACCTGAAGTGTCGGTAAATGTGCGCAGGGTGCGTGCTCTCGGCACATCTTCTGTTTACAATGGATATGCAAATGATGTAGCCCCTCGGCACCAGGGCCCAGCCATATTTGCATGTGTCAGCCCCACTCCTATTATATTATATTTTATAACCTGCATATTATCTTCAAAATATGCCCCTTCTAAACCAATGACAAAATAAAGCTGCTAATAATCTACTCCCTGGGTTTGTCTTGCCTCCCTTTTCATTAAACCACCTTTATATTGGCTGTACCCCCCTCAGTCCATCAGACTCTAGCTTACTGCCCAGTGTCTCCCACCCCTCTCTGCCAATACCCCCATTGGCTTCTGGTTGCTCAATGAGTAAATATTTCAAAATATTAACATCAACACACAAACCCATTCACAGCTTGTCCCCAAGCTACATCACTAAACCTTGCGCAAATTATCACCCAATTGTCCTCTCCAATCCCACCAAGACCTCCTGCTCCCTCATCACCAACTCCCATGCTCACCTCCAGGACTTCTCATAAGCCTCTGCCATCTTCTGGAACTCCCTACACTGTCTACATTTAGGTGATCTCTGAAAACTCACCTCTTCAAGGAAGTCTATCTTGTCTCTACCCAACAACTGTACTTTTACTTCTTCAAACAAGTCATCAGTTGTTACCTTTTGTGTCACTTGACCCCCCCTTTTACATTGCAATATTTCATGAGCAGTAAGTGTGCTATCTTTCTTTATTTTAGTAAAGCACTGCACAAACTGTTGGCCCCAGTGGTGTATTTAGGTTTTGTGCTGCCCTAGGCAACACAAAAATCGGACCCCCCCCCGGAGAGAGCCTGATACCAACCAATAACAACCCCCCACAGTGATAGAGGCTTACATTGACCAACAACGCCCCTGTCCCCCCCACACACACACACACCCAAGAGAGCTTTCCAATATCACCCCCATCAACGAGAGAGAGACCTTCACAACCTTCATCAAGCAGCCTGCAGCCTCTCTAGGATCCCACCTGGTTCCCATGCCGCATGTGTCCCTTCTTCAGCCCCTTTTTCCGCTGGTCAGTGCAGCCCCCCTGAAAAATGCCGCCCTAGGCAAATGCCTTGTTTACCTTGTAAATACACCCCTGGTTGGCCCTATATAAATCCTGTATGGCAACATTAATAATATAATGATTTTCAATGATATTATATTTTATAGGCATTCCTGTTTAAAATTATTTTTATTTTTAAAGAGTATACGGCCTGAAATCAAACACACTTTTACCAGGGCAGATTTGTAGGTTCTTCAGTGCAGTGATAGTAAATCTCTAGCTCTGTAATGTTGTTTTTCCCCTTCTACAGTCAGGTCCATAAATATTGGGACATCGACACAATTCTAACATTTTTGGCTCTATACACCAGCACAATGGATTTGAAATGAAACGAACAAGATGTGCTTTAACTGCAGACTGTCAGCTTTAATTTGAGGGTATTTACATCCAAATCAGGTGAACGGTGTAGGAATTACAACAGTTTGCATATGTGCCTCCCACTTGTTAAGGGACCAAAAGTAATGGGACAGAATAATAATCATAAATCAAACTTTCACTTTTTAATACTTGGTTGCAAATCCTTTGCAGTCAATTACAGCCTGAAGTCTGGAACGCATAGACATCACCAGACGCTGGGTTTCATCCCTGGTGATGCTCTGCTAGGCCTCTACTGCAACTGTCTTCAGTTCCTGCTTGTTCTTGGGGCATTTTCCCTTCAGTTTTGTCTTCAGCAAGTGAAATGCATGCTCAATCGGATTCAGGTCAGGTGATTGACTTGGCCATTGCATAACATTCCACTTTTTTCCCTTAAAAAACGCTTTGGTTGCTTTTGCAGTATGCTTTGGGTCATTGTCCATCTGCACTGTGAAGCGGCGTCCAATGAGTTGTGAAGCATTTGGCTGAATATGAGCAGATAATATTGCCCGAAACACTTCAGAATTCATCCTGCTGCTTTTGTCAGCAGTCACATCATCAATAAATACAAGAGAACCAGTTCCATTGGCAGCCATACATGCCCACGCCATGACACTACCACCACCATGCTTCACTGATGAGGTGGTATGCTTAGGATCATGAGCAGTTCCTTTCCTTCTCCATACTCTTCTCTTCCCATCACTCTGGTACAAGTTGATCTTGGTCTCATCTGTCCATAGGATGTTGTTCCAGAACTGTGAAGGCTTTTTTTTTTAGATGTCGTTTGGCAAACTGTAATCTGGCCTTCCTGTTTTTGAGGCTCACCAATGGTTTACATCTTGTGGTGAACCCTCTGTATTCACTCTGGTGAAGTCTTCTCTTGATTGTTGTCTCCCCAGACCCGGCATTCACTATATCTGGTCTCCCTGGACCCTGCATTCCCTATATCTGGTCTCCCTGGACCCTGCATTCCCTATATCTGGTCTCCCAGGACCCTGCATTCACTATATCCGGTCTCCCAGGACCCTGCATTCACTATATCTGGTCTCCCCAGACCCTGCATTCCCTATATCTGGTCTCCCAGGACCCTGCATTCCCTATATCCGGTCTTCCAGGACCCTGCATTCACTATATCTGGTCTCCCCGGACCCTGCATTCCCTATATCTGGTCTTCCAGGACCCTGTATTCACTATATCTGGTCTCTCTGGACCCTGCATTCACTATATCTGGTCTCCCACAGTACACACAACATGGAAATGCAAGTATTTTAGTAAATATAAACTTTCTCATCAACAGTTAGAGCAGTCTTGTGACTTCAGCAGAGCACTGGTTAAAGCTTGTAGGAGTTTTATTTCTGCTTTAGGAGGATGTGAAACCTCTGACCCTCTGACTGGACAGTGCTGATTGGCCCTGTACTGATCACTTGCACTCTCCCAAGCAAAAAAAAAAACCCTTTAGCAATACACACTAAACTGAGCATGTGCATGTGACCATGGGTTCAGTTTAAATCAGGTGGACATTTCAATAAAAGGAGGGGCAGAGAAGTCAGGATCAAACAGCCTTTTTACATAATACAAATGATTAACCCCTTAGGTTCCACAGTGTGTATAACAAGCATGCTTTACTGCATATTCAGACTGATTTTACTGTTGTGGGTTTAATAACACTTGAAATCTACTCCAAACCCCATTCCAAGCCTATTCTATCTACCCTGTGAAAGGAAAGATCTGTATAGTTGCTTATTCTGAGGGTGCTCCAGTCAGCCATTGTCGAAAATCTTTCCTCTTCACTGAAGCCACCATGGTGGGCCAATCATGTGACCAGACCAGATCGCCCTCAGAATAGGTAAATATAGTCACATAGGCGTTTAGTCTGTGTGTGCTAAATTCTGGCATTTTTGTGGGAGGCACAGGTGCAGAGCTTAGCCCCATATTAGCAGCCTGTCGAAATCAATGACAGGCTGAAATATACAGTACAGTAGCTGGACACAGCTGGTTGCTGTAATGAGTGGTACTTGCATTTAGCCATGTATGTATTTGGGGACATATGTCATATCATACCAGAATTGCTGATTCCAGGCATACATTCCGGAACGCATTTCAGTGTAAGCACCAGTACCAATCGCTACAGCATCCAACTGCCTCAACCCACATGGAAGAAAAATATATTTCAAAATATATATATATACACACACTGCATGTTGAAATGCATTTATATATATATATATATATTACAAACTACATGAAAAATATTTTTAAAAATATATATATTTTTTAAATATATTCTTCAGATTTTTTTTAACATATAAAAAAGTCATTTTAACATATATTTGTAAATGCATTCCAAAAATGTAGATTGAATGTATTTTTAAAGACATACAGTATATTTGAATATGTATTTTTAAAAATATTTTTTATATACTTTGTAATAAAATAGCAATTCAACATACAGGATAGATAGATAGATAGATAGATAGATAGATAGATAGATAGATAGATAGATAGATAGATAGATAGATAGATATATTTTTCTTCCATGTGGGAAACTTCAGCCTGTGATAGATTTCAAAAGGCTGCTAGCAGCAGGGCTGGATGCTGAGCCTGTATTTCCAAGGCACACAAAAATGCCAGGATTTGATGTCCTTGGGCCAAATGCCCAGTGTGCGTGAGGCCTAAAACTAAAAAGCTTTTTTGTGGATGAATTACTCCATAGTGGCTGCAGCTACAAAGATCAGTGAGGTCTTGTTTTAAAGCCCATTTACTGCACAGATATTTAAAAATTAGAATGCCCAAAACCTAGTCATAATTCTACTTTGAATCAAACTTTTATTTTTAATTGTCAAAAAAACCTACTTTGAAATATGCAGCCCCTAAACAACACACTGGTGCATAATCAGTGAAAAAAAAAGCAATTTCAGTCTGTACCCTGTAAGCCAAAGCTTGCATGTCAATGACACGTCTTTCCTATAAGTGATAGTCATGTGTCATGGATTTCAGAAAGGCAGTAGACATGCAACAGCATCCAGGGAAATGGTTAGACACAGAGATGGGAGCTTAGCTATTGACTTTTGAGAAAAAAAGTCAATATTTGCATTGCTGTTTAGTCTGCACATTTTGAAAAAAGAAGGGGTGCGATGGAGCCGAGTATGAGGTATAATTATGTTGACCTGTTTGCGGGAAGGAAAAGTTTACTTTAAAGTGACAGCAGACATTTCTATACATTATAGATGTGCAGAAACTGTGAGGGCTCTTAGGAAACACCTGCGTAGTTTGCCTCATAATTGTCTTTATAGCCCAAGTATCCTGCAGCTTCATATAGTGGCCGACAAGCACATGATTGACCACCTTTCCTGCTTCTCTGTTTCTGCTTCCTTCCTATAGGTGACGTTACATGAAAGCTTTTCCTGAATGTGTTTTTTAATTGAGAATTACCTCTCCCAGCTGATTCCACACTTAGCTGATATCTGCACATCACCCAAGGATGGACGTCAATGGGAAATGCCGTGACTGTCATAGAGGATAGTTTTGGAGGACAGCCTCTAAGATGACAGGTTACCATACAAGAAATGATAAGGGAAGCTCCACTGACATCCCCTTTCACTATTACTCTCCTCTAGTGTTTTTCATGCAGGATGGAGCTTGTAAACACTTGTCAGGAGAGAAGTATGCTCTACAACACAGGTGTCAAACTGGTGGCCCTTCAGCTGTTGTCAAACTACAAGTCCCATGAGGCACTGCAAGATTGCATGTTACAAGCACGACTCCCAAAGGCAGAGGCATGATAGGACTTGTAGCTGGAGGGCCACCAGCTTGACACCCCTGATCTACAAGTTTTAACAGCCAACTTTTCACAGTTTTCTTAGGGATGATTTACATGCATGTGTTGCAGTACCAAGTTACCACAATGCATGTTACATGCATTGCCAAATTACAGGGCCATTTATTTGTAATAACACCTCAATGTAATTAGGCAGCACATAATTAGGCCATTTTGGACATTAGAAGCCCAATGATTTCAATGGGTTGCCTTAAAGTGGTTATAAACCTCAGACATGAAATCTGAACAAAGCACATATTTCTATAGTGTTTACTACTCTCCAAAGTGAAGGAATGGACGCTGCTCAACCGACCCCAGGAGTCCAATCTTAAGGAATGGCCTCAGACGCCATACTGGCCACACCCCCTGATGTGTTTCATCCCGCCTACTGGGGCTTGGTTACAGAGGTTCAGTGGGTGGGAGCGAAACACGTCAGTACGGTGGCTGAGGCCATTCCTTAACCACTTCCCGTCCGACCCATGTAGATAAATGGCCGAATGGGAGTGCTACCGATGTGTTTGGACATTTCTAAACGTCCCTGCGCATCCATTACCTGTGCATGCTTTCTGGGAGCGCACGGCACCGCGATCAGTGCCTGCTGGTCCTTCAGAATTTCTAGTGTTATTATGTGGTTACACCCCTTTAGCACCTGATGGATAATTGCATGCACTAGCTGTTGGGATTTGAGCACAGGGATCTCTTGTATGTTGTATTGTTGGGTCAGTAGCCAGACCTGAACCTTGTAGCTCTCCCCATTGTGTCTTTCCCCCTATGCTAGCATTGTGTCCACAGTAGCATTTGCGTAGGCAGGGCAGAGTAGGACTGGCCATAGAGGGATTACTTTGACGCAGTTGGCCAGCTTAAGCATGTATTGCAATATGTGTGAACTAAATATCCCTATTTATTGCATAGTCTGCTTGAAAGGGTATATACCAGTGTGCAGAGGGTCCTTCAGAATTTCCGGTGCCTGTTTGTGTCCGGGAGGAACACATCGCTGTATGGGACCTTTGTATGAGGTCCCGATTCATGTGATCACTGATTGGCCAATCAGTGATCACATGAATAGTAGTAAACAAGATGTCACTTCCTGACATCATTGCTTACTACTTGTGAAATCTGTGAATGATCACATGGTACAAGGCTATTCACAACAGCCTTGTACCATGTGACAAGCTGTGACCAATCACAGCTCACACAGTATTTCTCAATGGCTGCAAGAATGCAGCCAGAGAAAAAGAGAAATTATTGCTTTTACAGCTTTTATGGGTGTAAAAGCAATCAGTGTAAAAAAAGAAAAAAAAATCTTCATTACCCCCCACAAGTAATACAATGTCACCATGGTGACACTACTGCTAGGGTGACAGTATGTAAAAAAACATAAATAATAATATAACCCTCTTCTTCCATCCTATGCTCCCTCACTCACATCTTCAATCTTTCCCTCTCTAACGGTGCATTCCCCACCCCTCTAAAGCACACGCACATCACTCCCATAATTAAAAAGCCCTCCCTGGACCCCGACAACCCAAACAACTTGAGACCCATCTCCCTGCTGCCATTTACCTCTAAACTCCTAGAACGCTTAGTCTACAATTGCCTGAGCTCCCACCTCACCGACAACAACCTTCTTGACCCCCTACAGTCTGGCTTTCACTCACTACACTCCACTGAAACTTCCCTACTAAAACTCACTAATGATCTACTAACAGCTAAAACCAATGGCCACTACCTCTCTGCGTCTTTTGACACAGTTGACCATCCGCTCCTCCTCAAAAAACTCCACTCTCTTGGTCTCCGAGACTCTGCTCTCTCCTGGTTCCCCTCCTACCTATCGCAGTTACCTATAATTCTGTCTCCTCCTCTTCACTCCCTCTTTCTGTAGGGGTCCCTCAAGGTTCTGTCCTTGAACCCCTTCTCTTCTCCATCTACACCTCCTCACTTGGTCACTTGATAAACTCCCATGGCTTTAAGTACCATCTCTATGCTGATGACACACAAATCTATTTTTCTACCCCTCACCTCACCCCTTCAGTCTCCTCTCACATTACTAACCTACTAAGCAACATATCGGCATGGATGTCACTCCACTTCCTCAAACTCAATCTTTCCAAAAGTGAGCTCCTAGTATTCCCCCCAGCCCGTGCCCCCTCCCCTGACTTCCCCATCAAGATCAACAATACAACCATCATTCCCTCCCCTCATGCCAGGGTATTAGGTGTAATCCTAGACTCCCATCTGTCCTTTCAGCCCCAAATCCATTCACTGTCCAAATCATGTAGACTTCACCTCCGCAACATCTCCAAGATACGGCCGTTCCTAACCTCAGAAACCACTAAGCAACTTATTCACTCCCTTGTTATCTCTCGCCTTGACTATTGTAACTCCCTCCTCAATGGCCTACCTCATCGCAGGCTATCCC